TCTTTCCCTCTTCAAAGCCATATTTGGAGTTATTGGGCACTCTTGTTAAAAAGTGCTCTATCTATTCCCACTTTTCTGTTGTTTCTTGTATATACCTTTCCTTCATCAGGTTCCCCAGCAGAATGAGGGGTATAGGGTACCCATATATGGAGAAAGAGAATCCAAAATGTGAGAAGGTTCAGAGAGAATTTTACGGAGACAGTGAATTATAGTCATAGTATTTAAGAGCATGGACTTGAAGTCAGATCTGGTTTCAGTACTAGCTCTGTAACTTTAGGCAACTTCTTGAATCCCTCTAAGCTTCACGTTCCTCTTCTGTAAAATAGATGTAATTAATTACCTACCTCATGGGCTCATATGAAGATTAAATAAGATGATTCAGGAAAAGAGTTCGATGTCCAGCATGTGAAAAGTATTCAGCAAATGTTAGCTGTAGTCAATTGATAATAAATAATGAGGTGCTGACCAGCATTAAGATATCATAGTAATTATAGACTTACTTTATCCTTCCCATTCCTGTCACCATTACAATTGATAAAATGATGCTAAATTTTTACACATTCTTATATTTTCTAACTTTATGTTTTAAAGTAAAAATTCCTGCTATCCAGGCAAAAAGACATAAACAGTGTTTTTGTGATGACTGCAAAACCGTTGATACACATTCTATTTCACACCAAGAAAAAACAAAAGAAAACCTCGCCATGGTGAGTGAAGTTGAAATCCTTTTGTTCTTCAGCCTAGAACATGCCATTCTTTGGGCCAGCCAGCCATTGGCTGTTGGCAGCACTCTTTTCATTTTAAGGACATACAGGTTGAAAATGTTTTTTGTCATAAGAAAATAATACAGCATAATTGAACAGAATGAACCAAGAAAATATGGTATATAGTTAACTCTCCATTATCTGCATTGAACACAGAATTATAGTTTAGCCGCTATCCTTTACACCTAGATTGCGTTTTTTGGCTACTTCTTTTTCTTTCTTTTTTTTTTTTTTTTTTTTTTTTTTTCTTGCGTTATGCGGGCCTCTCACTGTCGTGGCCTCTCCCATTTGCGGAGCACAGGCTCCGGACGCGCAGGCCCAGCGGCCATGGCTCACGGGCCTAGCCGCTCCGCGGCATGTGGGATCCTCCCGAAACGGGGCATGAACCCGCGTCTCCTGCATCGGCAGGCGGACTCTCAAGCACTGCGCCACCAGGGAAGCCCTTGGCTACTTCTTATCCGACAGACAGTGCCACTGTCATAGCGTGTCTTCACCCACCCACTTCCGAAAAGTATCTAAGATACATACTAGGTAGAAAAGACCCTGGAACCCAGACAGAGAAGAGAAAAGAAACCTGGTTTAACCAACGTGGATCCCACATGGTTTATAGTGATAGTGTTTGCTATATGTGAAATCCCTCATGTAAACATATTTTGGAAAAAAAAACCCCATAGTAGTCGTACATATATTAATAATATAAGATGGATATTCTTAGTTTGATTAAAACATACAGCTTACTAGACACTAACTTCTTAAGCAAAGTAGCATCCTCAATGAAATATTTTGAATAAGACTATGTATGTTGATTAGATTTCCCTTACATATTTTTTGTTAGTGTAGAGGGGAAAATATTATTCATTGAACCTAAACTATGATTAATGAACTATTTTATACCTTAAATATTTTGAATGGTATTCAAACTAAATTGTATTTGCCTCAGCATTTAAAAAATATTTTACATTGTTCCTGGTATCTCTTGTAATGAATGAAAAGTTAATTGTCAATCTAATTGTCATTCCCTTGTAGGTAATGTCTTTTAAGCTTACAGTTTTTAAGATTTTTCTTTTATATTCTGCAGTTTCACTAGGTTATGTCTAAATGTGGACGTGTTTTTAATTAATTATTCTAAGGACTAGATATGCTCCTTTAATCTGAAGACACATTTCTCATTTGTATATTGGAAACTCTCAGCCCTCATATCTTTGAATATTACTTCTCTCCCATTCTCAGTATCTCCTTTTTTGGAACTCATATTTAGATGGCTGTTAGACCAGTCTCCATATGTCTTTTTCATATTTTCCATCTCTTTAACTCTCTGCACTATATTCTGGGCAATAGCCTTTGATCACTGATTTTCTACCCAAAGCCTTGGGTGGGTGACAAGTAGAATTTTTTCTAATCCTTATTTAAGCTAAAGGACACCCACTTAAGGTCACTAGCTTTATGAGGGGACTCCATTCTAACTCCTTCTTCATGTGGCCCTGAGGCCTTATCTTCTGTTCCTTTGTAGGACCCTAATCCCTAATATGTATGTTTGTTCCAGATCCCTCATGGGCTGCTACTAACTTCATTTTATTTCTCTTTCTTTTTCCAATCTTAGCTGGGGACAGGTGGTTAAAGTTCATTATGTTTTGTCTAATGTGTTTTTCCAACTGTTTGGAGTAGACTGGAGTCCTTCTGTATCAGCTCAGTTCACCATATTGACCATTAGTATATTTAAGGTATATTTTCATGTAAAGATTAAAACATTATGGAAAAATCACACTATTTTTATTAACTATATGGGTATTTGCTTCAGGAATAATGTATATCATTTTAGATGCGGAGCCACAGAGGAATATAGTGGAGATATAGGAGTTTAATGAAAACCAACTTTAAAAAAAAGAAAAAAAACTTAAATATGCAGACATTAAAATCATCAAGGGTTTGTCTTTTGTAAATGTAAAATTGTTTTTGAATGTTGAAATTTCCAAACCAAATTGAGGATGGGAGGGGGGGCGACTCTATGGCCAGGTGCAAAGGAAATGAGATGATTTTAGTTTGGTGCTACCTTCTAACACCTTCAGATCACAGCATGTGTAGGCAGCCTCCTTCTCTACCTCCATATAGAATGAGTACAGAAGTAATAAAAAATAATAATGATAATAGTTTGCATTCACCGAGTATTTATTATATGGTAAGCTCTCCTCTAAGTGCTTTATATTAACTCATTTAGTCCTTATAATAATTCTTCTAGGTAGTTTCTATTAATATCATTACCTTCCTCATTACAGATAAGGAAGATAAAGTAAGAGAGGGTAAGTAACAATCCAGAATTACATTTCTATTAAGTAGCAATGGCAGAATTAAACTCTAGGCAATCTGACTCCAGAGCCTGTGCTCTTAACCACTATGTTTTATTTTTAATATTCAGAATTATAAAAGAGATGTCAGAGGCAAAGATGATCCTGCCATAGTAAAAGTTGTAAATCTGGAATAAAATCTTAGTGAAGCTTTACAGTAAGTAGAGTGTAAGCTGTCTATAAGTTGCTTATTCCAAAGACAGATCCTAGGTTAGGAGTGGTTTTTCTTGTTTTTTGTTTTTGGTAAGATAAACAAATAGTAATGAAAGACTAAGAAGGGGGATCTTGGAGGGAGTTTTACTGGGCCCTCCATGGTAAAATGTGGAGCTGGTATGGAGTGAAAAGTTATGGCCCGTGGTGGACAAGACTGAGTGCATCTACAATATGAGACAAAACAGAAGGGGAAGTCAGCACCAAAAGATGTTTTCTTTATCCCAACCTGTAGGTAGAGGCTTAGTCTGGTCACAAATTTAGACCTTTAGTTTGCTTTTCCACATAGCTGGATGGTTTTATTATGTGCATTTTCCATATCCCTTGTGGGCACCAAAGTAAAACTTGAGAGCAATGTACTTCACAAGGCTTTGAGGACATACATCTTTTAAAACTGAATGTGTTTTGAGAATGTATTAAAGGATACATAGTACGAGTCAGTCCATCAGTTGTCATTTATTGAGCAACGACTGTATATCCAGCAGTGTGGAAACCTGTACAGTATGAAAGCCATGCTCCTGCCTACAAGATCTCATTGTTTTGATGGAGGAAATATAATATATAAAACATTATACATTATTTCTGTAGTACTAAAATTCTTAAGTAATTCTGAGAAAGAAGAAATCAGTATGGATTAGATTAGTCAGGGGGTTTGTGTGTGAGATTGGTTTAATATAATAATAAACAATATTTATTGAACTTTTACTTTGTGCTGACACTGTCCTAAACATTTTATATGTGTTACTCAGTTCAGACAAGGAGAGAGAGGATAATTAACTTTCTGTAGTCACCCAGCTAGGAAGAGATGAAGCCAGAATTCAAACCCAGGCAGTCCAGTTCCAGAGTCCACTCCACAATTCCATCTCTGATAAGAAAGAGAAAGTTCTGGGCAGAATACACAGAAGGCATTTGAGTCAGGAATATTAATACTGACAAGTATATAAAGAGATGGTTTTAAATCCCCTTTGCGAGTTTTTGAGAGTGTTTAGTATTTGTAAGACTGTGTGAAATTTCAATAGTGTACAATGATAGTCATAAAACCTTAAAGTGAACTTGTTGCATATATATTGTCTTTAAATATTATGTGCTGAGTTGTTCTTTTTCTCCTATACCTATAACAGAAGTCATTGAGAAATTGTGATTCTTTGTATACTTGCTACTCTTACATTCTGTTTTCCTGGAGCAGATCTGCTACATAAATCAAGATATATTTAAGTTTAATTTTTCCCCAAATATGTAATATATATACAATTAAGTTTAAACAAAGCCTGAGTACATTTGGAACATAAAGGGAAATGAGCATTTTTAGTGGCACTTTCTTTAGCACTTTTACTGTGCATTTGTCAGTTGCATATCAGAGAAAAACATCTACCTTCTTGTAATGAAGTTTTTAATATTTTATCTGATAGCGTCAGACCATCAGTGCCATTCTACAAGATTTAGAAGAAAAACAAGAAAATTTGTTAGCATTTGAAATAAGAACCCCTGAAGATGCAGGTAAATATATACTCATACTCAAGTCTGATTATTTCATTCATCCAAGGTATTGCTATCTCATCTTCTTTTTTGGGGGGTGGGGTATAAGTATGATTCCATTTTTATAAAGTTCAAGAACAGGCCAAATTAACTTTTGGTAGAATTCAAAATAGGAGTGCAGTGGGGTTGAAGGTGCCCTCCCTCCAAAATATGTCCACATTCTAAGCCCCAGAATCTGTGAATGTGACTTTTTTTGCAGGGGGGAGAGTCTTTACAGATATAATTAGAGATCTTGAAATGAGATTTATCTTGGATTTTCCAAATGGGCTCTAAATCCAATGACAAGTGTCCATATAAGAGACACACAAGAGAGAGACAGAGAAGGAGAAGGCCGTGTGAAGATGGAGGCAGAGACTGGAGTGATGCAACCACAAGCCAAGGAATGCCTGGAGCCACCAGAGACTAGAAGAGGCAAGGAAGTTTCCTCCCCTAGAGGCTTCAGAGGGAGTACAGTACTGTCAGTACCTTAATTTTGGACTTCACTGTTTGCAGGAGTATGATATCCCTTGAAACCAAAGTAAAATAATATAAAATGAAATCATTTTTTAAAAGTGATAATAAATCCTCAAATTAATTCTAAGTTGTTGAGTAGACTAAGTATCTTCTCATAGAAGTATTTAGGGCAAGTTTCTCTTTATAAAATGGTTATGCTACTAGTGTTTCATTAGGAAGAATTTTTAAAAATATAATTACACATCTTCAAATGCACTAGAAAAACTACATGTCAGAGGGAACCAGTTCTGAATCATTTGTGACTTGACTATACATTCCATGTTTGTCGTGTTGCAATTTGATAATAATTACTAAGCCATAAGCCAAATTATTATTTGTCCTGAGTAGGATTTATTTGAAGACTTGTTTGTTTGCTTCTTTTATCCTGCATGAAATTTCCCACATTCTGCTCATAAGATAAAAGTACCCTTTGAGATAAAATCAGACAGCTTGGGAAGATCCTTGATTTATAACCTTTTTTCTTCTTTTTTGGCATTAATTTACTGAAACATCTAAATTTTACAGTTGAAACTCACAAAATTTCAAACATTTAAGGCATTACCAGAAATAATATATTAGATGTGTGAGAAATAATGTATTAGATAGTATTAATTAAACAATGGATGGTCTATATTTAATTTTTTCTCCCATATGCTACTTTATTATTTTTTAAATTTTTATTTCATATTGGAGTATAGTTGATTAACAATGTTGTGTTAGTTTCAGATACATAGCATAGTGATTCAGTTATACATATACACATATCTATTCTTTTTCAAGTTCCTTTCCCATTTAGGCTATTACAGAATACTGAGCAGAGTTACCTGTGCTATAGAGTAGGTCCTTGTTGGTTATCTGTTTTAAATACAGCAGTGTGTATATGTCAATCCCAAACTCCCAGTGTATCCCTCTCCCCAACCCTCTCCCACTGGTAACCATAAGTTTGTTCTATAAGTCTGTGAGTCTTTTTCTGTATTGTAAATAAGTTCATTTGTATCATTTTTTTTAGATTCCACATATAAGCGATATCATATGATATTTGTCTTTCTCTGTCTAACTTCACTTAGTATGATAATCTCCAGGTCCATCCACATTGCTGCAAATGGCAGCATTATTTCATTCTTTTTAATGGCTGAGTAATATTCCATTGTATATATGTACCACATCTTCTTTATCATTCATCTGTCAGACATTTAGGTTGCTGCCATGTCTTGGCTGTTGTACACAGCACTGCAGTGAATATTGGGTTGCGTGTATCCCTTTGAACCATGGTTTTCTCTGGATATATGCCCATGAGTGGGATTGCTGGATCATACGGTAGCTCTATTTTTAGTTTTTTAAGGAACCTTAGTACTGTTCTCCTTAGTGGCTGCACCAATTTACATTCCCACCAACAGTGGAGGAGGGTTCTCTTTTCTCCACACCCTCTCCAGCATTTATTGTTTGTACACTTTCTGGTGATGGCCATTCTGACTGGTGTGAGGTGATGTCTCATTGTAGATGTGATTTGCATTTCTCTAATAATTAGCAATATTGACCAGCTCTTTTCATGAGCCTCTTGGCCATCTGTATATATACTTTGGAGAAATGTTCTTTTTATTTAGTTATTCTGCCCACTTTTTGATTGGGTTATTTTTTGATATAGAGCCTCATGAGCTGTTTGTAAATTTTGAAGATTAATCCCTTTTCAGTCACATCATTCGCAAATATTTTCTCCCATTCTGTGAGTTTTTGTTTTGTTTATGGTTTCCTTTGCTGTGCAGAAACTTTTGAATTTAATTAGGTTCCATTTGTTTGTTTTTATTTCCATTACTCTAGGAGATGGATCTAAAAAGATAATGCTGCGATTTATATCAAAGAGTGTTCTGCCTGTGTTTTCCTCTAAGAGTTTTATAGTATCGAGTCTTACATTTAGGTCTTTAATCCATTTTGAGTTATTTTATCTTTATGGTGTTAAAGAATGTTCTAATTTCATTTTTTAACATGTAGCTGTCCAGTTTTCCCAGAACCATTTATTGAAGAGACTGTCTTTTCTCTACTGTATAGTCTTGCCTCCTTTGTCTTAGATTAATTGACCATAGGAGTGTGGGTTTATTTCTGGGCTTTCTGTCTTTTTCCATTGATCTATATTTCTATTTTTGTACCAGTATCATACTGTTTTGATGAGCGTAGATTTGTAGTATAGTCTGAAGTCAGGGAGCCTGATTCCTCCAGCTCCATTTTTCTTTCTCAAGGTCAGTTTGGCTATTCGGGGTCTTTTGTGTCTCCATTGTTCTAGTTCTGTGAAAAATGCCATTGGTAATTTGATAGGGATTTCATTGAATCTGTAGATTGCCTTGGGTTGTATAGTCATTTTGACAATACTGATTCTTCCAATCCAAGAACATGGTATATCTTTCCATCTGTTTGTGTCATCTTTGATTTCTTTCATCAGCGTCTTACAGTTTTCAGAGTACAGGTCTTTTGCCTCCTTAGGTAGGTTATTCCTAGGTATTTTATTCTTTTTGATGTGATGGTAAATGGGATTGTTTCTTTAATTTCTCTTTCTGATCTTTCATTGTTCGTGTATAGAAATGTTGTGTAGTATCATGTCATCTGCAGACAGTGACAGTTTTACTTCTTTTCCAATTTGGATTCTTTTTATTTCTTTTTCTTCTTTGATTGCTGTGGCTAGGACTTCCAGTACTATGTTGAATAAAAGTGATGAGAGTGGACATCCTTGTCTTGTTCCCGATCTTAGAGGAAATGCTTTCAGCTTTTCCCCATTGAGTATGGTGCTAGCTGTAGGTTTGTCATATATGGTCTTTATTATGTTGAGGAATGTTCCCTCTCTGCCCACTTTCTGGAGAGCTTTTATCATAAATGGGTGTTGAATTTTGTCCAGCTTTTTCTGCATCTGCTGAGATGATGATATGGTTTTTATTCTTCAATTTGTTGATGTGGTGTTGTATCACACTGATTGATTTTTGGTTATTTTAAAATCCTTGCATCCTTGGGACAAATCTCACTTGATCATGGTGTATGATCCTTTTAATGTATTGTTGGATTCAATTTGCTAGTATTTTGTTGAGGATTTTTACATCTATGTTCATCAGTGATATTGGCCAGCAATTTTCTTTCTTTTTGTGGTATCTTTGTCTGGTTTTGGTATCAGGGTGATAGTGTCCTCACAGAATGAGTTTGGGAGTGTTCATTCTTCTGCAATTTTTTGGAATAGTTTCAGAAGGGTGGGTGTTAACTCTTCTCTAAATGTTTGATAGAATTTGCCTTTGAAGCCATCTGGTCCTGGACTTTTGTTTGTTGGGAGCTTTTAAATCACAATTTCAATTTCAGTACTTGTGATTTGTCTGTTCATATTTTCTGTTTCTTCCTGGTTGTCTTGGGATATTGTACCTTTCTAAGAATTTGTCCATTTCTTCTAGGTTGTCCATTTTATTGGCATATAGTTTATTGTAGTAGTCTTTTGTGATCCTTTGTATCTCTGGGGTGTCCATCGTAACTTCTCCTTTTATATTTCTAATTTATTGATTTGAGCCCTCTCCCTTTTTTTCTTGATCAGTCCAGCTAAAGGTTTATCAGTTTTGTTTATCTTTTTAAAGAACTTTTTAGTTTCATTGATCTTTTCTATTGTTTTCTTCATGTCTATTTCATTTATTTCTGCTCAGATCTTTATGATTTCTTTCCTTCTACTAACTTTGAGTTTTGTTTGTTCTTCTTTCCCTGGTTGCTTTAGGTGTAAGCCTAGGTTGTTTATTTGAGATTTTTCTTGTTTCCTGAGGTAAGATTGTATTGCTATAAACTTCCCTCTTAGAACTGCTTTTGCTGTGTCCCATAGGTTTTGGATCATCGTGCTTTTGTTTTCATTTGTCTCTAGGTAATTTTTTATTTCCTCTTTGATTTCTTCAGTGATCCATTGGTTGTTTAGTAGTATATTGTTTAGCTTCCACATGTTTGTGTTTTTTACAGTTTTTTTCTTGTAGTTGATTTCTAATCTCATAGTGTTGTGGTCAGAAAAGATGCTTGATAGGATTTCCAATTTCTTTCTTTTTTTTTTTTTTTGGTACGTGGGCCTCTCACTGCTGGGGCCTCTCCCGTTGCGGAGCACAGGCTCCGGACGCGCAGGCTCAGCGGCCATGGCTAACGGGCCCAGCCGCTCCACGGCATGTGGGATCTTCCCGGACCGGGGCACGAACCCGTGTCCCCTGCATCGGCAGGCGGACTCCCAACCACTGCACCACCAAGGAAGCCCAGGATTTCCAATTTCTTAAGTTTACCGAGGCTCGCTTTGTGGCCCAGCATGTGATCAATCCTGGAGAATGTTCCATGTGCGCTTGAGAAGAATGCATATTCTGCTGCTTTTGGATGGAATGCTCCATAAATATCAAATAAGTCCATCTGATCTAATGCGTCATCTAAGGCCTGTGTTTTCTTACTGATTTTCTGTCTGGATGATCTGTTCATTGATGAAA